CATATCAGCAGGATCTAGACCTTCTTCCCAATTCCACTTGTACTCTCCAAAAACAAAAATCATTTGAAAACAACAACGAGAGAGAATTAAATAAATTTCTATTCCAGCAACATTTGGAGGGTCAAAGATTTTCCACAAATCCAACAAGTACATGGGAAAAGGACATGTTTTTCCTACATTACAATGCATATTAGATGAATCAAAAATTACATTCCAACTTAAAGAAAATACTCTTTGTCTAAAGTGTCACTGGCTTCCACTCACTGATCCACACTAGTAAGTAATTGGACCCCGAGTGCTTGGCAGTTATGAGTGCCAGTACTTTGGATCCCAATAGTGAGTGGGAATAAATTAATGATACAGCATATGAACTTGTATATACATCTCAAAAATATATAATACCGATATCTCACCAGGGTATTGAAAGGGACCCAATAACTTGCTAGTGGACTTCAACCATGGGAACCAGTATGCTAAGACTATCATATAAGAGGGGAAACCCCTAACAGCTAGCAAGGTAAATACTCTTTCATATTAAAATACTGGTAACTAAAATCCTATTTCATAAATTTCAAACAAAAATAATTTTCCAATGTCTTAAAATACTACATCACTTTAAAATGTAGCTTGGAAGATAAATAAAGCAATATAACATACAAGCTTCATTTGCTGCTAATACATTACATAGATTCTTGGTGAGCTATTTCACAGGGCTGACTTCCTCCCTAAAATTTACTCTTTATTGGAAAATGCACAGGGATTTTGTGTCATCTGAGTTAGGGCAGGATTCCCAAACTTGAAATTTCATTTCCTAGAAAGCAGACTTTTTTCCCCTTCCCAACCTTAAACCCTGACAATGAAAATCATATTGTTAATTAATATGCTGATATTTTTCATGTTAAGCTGCTTTGAGTCTCTTGCAGGAGAGCTAAAATGGGGTATAAATAAATATAATAATATCTTTAATATCTATCTTTGATTTGTTTGATTTAATTTTTTATTCTATTTCTATTTATTTTATGATGTCATGTATGTTTTTTTCTCGTGTTACGAGCCACCTGAGTCCCTTTGGGGTGAGGGAGTGGAATATAAATAAAGCTTTATTATTATTTATTACTATAATATGAGGAATGGTGGGAAAGCAGTTGTGTTCTAGGAAATTGAAATGCCATTTCTTTTTCTCAAGCTAGAAAGTGAGGCTACTTTTTATAAAGAGGAAACAACAACAAAAATCAGACCCAATCTAATGGCCCTTTCTTACATGTCCTTTGAATATATAACATGAGAGAGAATTTCCCCCTAAAAGCTAGACCAATGAGCAGATGGCAGGAAGAGAATCTTTTAATGTGCAAAACTAAGTCAAAAGCAGCACACTGTGCTGGAGAGATTGTCAGGAAATAGGCCCATAGCTTCATATGTGGTGATCATGTAAAATTATACAAAAAAAATGGGAAACGGTTTTTAAAGAAATAAGAGCAACAATAAAAACAGAGATAGAGAATACACCAAAATCAGCACTGCTACTTATACATAACAATACAATTCCCTCACAAGAGAAGGAATTGGTCTCTAATTTACTAACAGCAGCAAAATTATTAATAGTAAAGATTGGAAAGAAAGGAAATTCGACTAGAAGAATGATACAGAGATATTTGGAACATAGTTATTAATGACAAGTTGACTTCTGATTTTAAAGTTAAAAAGGGACTATCAAAAGAAAGAGATTTGTGGAAAATACAGAGAGAATATATTGAGTATTTGTTTAATGAGGAAAGGGGATACAAGCTGACAACAAGCAATTAAATTTTGAATTTGTGAAACAAGATGAGTTTGTTGGTCCTGGGGAAGCTGGCACAAAATAAGGGTAAGGGGAGTAGGGAAATATAATAATAATAATAATAATAATAATAATAATAATAATAATGAAATAAAAATATGTGTAGTACAGTACACATAATATAAGCTCCAACTGTGGAAAGTTCAATTACGTTAAGAAGTATACTTAAGGTGTGTTTGATTTTTCTTCTTTTAGTTTGTGTAAAACAGTGGTTCCCAACCTTTTTTTGACCAGGGACCACTTTGACCAGGGACTCCAACATTAGTATCAAAAGGGTTACAAATAAGTTTTTGGTCAACTTCATATTCGGTTTATTTGGGGTGCTGATTCAGAAAATTGCATTGGATTGACCACATCAGCTCAAATTTCTGATACAGAACATATGCCATCCAGTAGTCGCCATCTGCTTGGTCACAGAAAGCCATATTTAATAAGCTTTGGCACTATAAGAGGGTTTCGCGAGACCAGTCGCTCTCGTTGCAACAGTGTTGAAACTATGAGGCCAAAGACCATATTTTTATTCTTGAAAACCACTGGTGGTCCATGGATCACAGGTTGGAAACCATTGGTGTAAAATATGGCATACTCCCCTGTCCAAGATATTGTAAAAGGGGGAAAGGATGTATACTTATGGACTTTGATGATAAATAAAAATAAATTTAAAGAGTAGCTCACACAGGGCCCCCTAATCCCTTACTCAGGCCCCTTCCACAAAGCTATATAACCCAGAATATCAAGGCAGAAACTCCCACAATTATCTGTTTGAACTGGGATATCTGAGTCCACACTGCCATACAACCCAGTTCAAAGCGGAAAATGTGGAATTTTCTTCAGCTATGTGTAAGGGGCCTCAGAAGCAATGCTCACCAGAGCCATGGTAGAACTTTTTCTCCCTTCTGTTTACTTAGGCCACAATATTCACAAGCAGCTAGGGCCCTTTCCACACTGCTGGATAAAAGCCCACATTTTCTGCTTTGTACTGGAATATATGACAGTGTGGACACATATAATTTAGGGCCCTTCCACGCAGCCCTATATCCCAGAACATCAAGGCAGAAAAATCCCACATTATCTGAGTGTAGACTCAGATAACCCAATTCAAAGCAGGTACTGTGGGATTTTCTGCCTTGATATTCTGGGATATAGGGCTGTGTGGAAGGACCCTCAGAATATCAAGGCAAAAAATCCCACAATATCTGTTTTGAACTGGGTTATCTGAGTCCACACTGCCATATAGGAAATAATTCCCAGCAAAATGTCCTCAGAAGCATTTTAACTACTCGTTGGGTTGCTCTCTCTTTATTTCTTTTAAAACCCTCTTACCAGATACATCCTACCTCTGTTCATGCCCAGCGTTTATTTTTTAAATTTTAAACTACTGGCCCGGCCATAGTTTTTTAAATCCTTGCGTGTTATTGTTTATATGTGATTTATATTAATTGTATTGTTTTATTTGCTTACTGCTTTTTATTTTATTGATGTGTTGTCGGGTTTGGCCTCATGTGAGCTGCTCTGAGTTGCCTCGGGGAGATGGTGGCGGGGTATAAATAAAGTTTTTATTATTATTATTATTATTATTATTATTATTATTATTATATACTAGCCGTCCCCTGCCACAAGTTGCTGTGGCCCAGTCTGTATATACGTGTTTTGTACGTGTGTATGTATGTGTTTATATGTGTTTATATATTTGTGTATCTGTGTATGTGTGTGAGAGAGAGATATGTGTGTGGGGGGTATGTTTGGATGTATATATGTGTGTGCATATGTGTGTGTGTAGATGTGTATACATGTGTGCATATATTTGTGTGTTTATAAGTGCATATGTATATTTACACAAAAAGCACTGGCCATCCACAAGAAGATGGAAGCAAAGAGAGGAAACCTTGCTGCCATCAACAAAAGTCAAACTTAAAAACTTAATATGGACATGCCACTAGTTTTACCTACCCGCGCCCCTGCCCAAACCCTATTTTAAGGAATTAATCAATTTTTAATCTTTTTTTTATCTTGTAGTTGCACAATCATTTAGGAGTGGGTTGACAGGCCAGTAGGCCGGGATGCCTTGTATTCATATATGGTTTTACTGTATGTATGGGCAAGTGTGTATGTTTTGCATGTTTTGATATGGTCAAAATTGACTACTCAATAAAGAATTGTTGGGTTATATGTATATTGTGTGTATGTGTATGCTTGTCTTTATGCATACTTGTGTTTATATATGTGTGTGTGTATGTAGATGTGTGTGTGTATATATTTGTGTGTGCTTGGGTATAGATAGACATATGTGTATGTATGTGTGCATATGTATATGTATTTGAGTGTGTGTGTATATATATATATGGTGTATTTTGGCTGTTTTTAAGTCTGTTCTGCTGAGGGGTTTGTTTTTTTTTTGTATTTTTAGTGGTGATGAACACTCGTTGGACTGTTAGGTGTATTATGTCAAAAATTCGTGTCAATTCATCCAGTGGTTTCTAAGTTATGTTAATCCCACAAACGAACATTACATTTTTATTTATATAGATTCCAGTTCAAAGCAAACAATGTGGGGTTTTATTCAGTTGTGGAAGGGGGCTTTGCTTTGTAACTCAGAACATCAAGGCAGAAAATCCCAGATTATCTGCTTTGAACTGGAATATATGTCAATGTGGGATGATATTCCAGTTGAAAAGAGATAATGTGGGATTTTCTGCCTTGATGTTCTGGGTTATACGGCTGTGTGGAGAAAATATCCCAAACGTTGTCAATTATAAGCTTGATTTATGCCAAAGCAATCTGCCATCATGCCAAACACGCCTGAGATTCTTGGTTTAATGTATTTTTTCCTACCCAATGTAGACAAATCCACACCTCTTTCAAGAGAAAGGATTAAACTGCCGGGGGAAGAAGTCTAACACCTGCCACCACCCCCCTTTTCCCCCCTCAGTTTGTTGAGAAGCCACAGCGCCAGGGAAGGAGGCAAATCGAGCTCGGCAAAAGCCTGCGGCCTAGAGACAAGGAGGGGGCAGACCAGAGAAGAGGCCTGGCTGAAGCAGGCGCCCTGAAAGCAGGGACGGGGCCCGGTCTTGCCCCCGAAGGCAGGAGCGGAGGGGGAGGCGCGAGTAGGCCGGAGCCTCCGCCCTATTGTTCTGCCGAGGCTCCCTCTCTGTCTCTCTCTCACCTCACGGCGGCGGCAGCTCCTCTCAGCTGCGGAGCACAGGCGCGGCCGTGGCGCCCACCTCGTCTTGGCCCAGGAGCAGCAGCAGCGAGCTCTCCTCGGCCCCGGCCGCCTCTCCCCTCCTCTGGCCCTCGGCGGCGGCGGCGGATGCGTCGGCCAGGGCCGCCTCTGCAGCAGGGGCCATCTTGGGTGCCTCCGCGCTTCCTTCCCTCAGCACCACCGCCACCAGCAGCAGCAGCAGGCCCGCCTCGCCTCCGCGGGCGTCGCGGCTCATGCGCGGCTCTTCCTCCCCCCGCCCTTCCTCCCTTCCTTCCTTGCTTCCTGCTGCCGCGGGGGGCGGGGCCAGGCCAGGAGGCACTCCGCTTCCGGGTTTGCGCAGGAAGGCGCCCCGAGTGGCCTTCTTCAGCCAGGCCGCAGTGGCCTCCCTCTCAAGCCCCCCCACTCTCAAGCAGGGACCAGGCACTGCACTAGGCCCAAGGCTCCTCACTCCCTCAGTCATGATACCCTGAACTCAACCCAAGGCAACTCCCTCCCTGTTATTTATACATTGAACTCAACCCAATGCAACTCCCTCCCTCAGTTACTGTACACTAAACTCAACTCAAGGCAACTCTCTCCCTCAGTCATGTTACACTGAATTCGACTCAAGGCAACTCCCTCTCTCTGTTATTACACACTGAACTCGACCCAAGTAACAAAATGAACTCAACCCAAAGCAACTCCCTCACTCAGTTATTATACACTGAACTCAACCCAATGCAATTCCCTCCCTCTGTTATTAAACACTGAACTCAACACAATGCAACTCCCTCCCTCAGTCATGATACGCTGAACTTGACCCAATGCAACTCCCTGTTATATACTGAACTCAACCCAATGCAACTCTCTCCCTCAGTTATGATACACTGAACTCAACCTAATGCAACTCCCTCCCTCAGTTACTGTAGACTGAACTCGACCCAATGCAACTCCCTCCCTCAGTTATTATACACTGAATTCAACCCTATGTAACTCCTTCCCTCAGTTATTATACACTGAACTCAACTCAATGCAACTCTCTCCTTCAGTCATGTTACCCACTGAATTCGACCCAATGCAACTCCCTCCCTCAGTTATTTATACATTGAACTCAACCCAGTGCAACTCCCTCCCTCAGTTAATCTATACTGAAGTCAACCCAATGCAACTCCCTCCCTCAGTTATTTACACACTGAACTCAACCCAATGCAACTCCCTCCCTCAGTTATTTATACATTGAACTCAACCCAATGCAACTCCCTCCCTTAGTTGTTATACATTGAACTCAACCCAATGCAACTCCCGCCCTTAGTTATTATACATTGAATTCGACCCAATGAAACTCCCTCTCTCATTTATACACTGAACTCGACCCAATGCAACTCCCTCCCTCAGTTATTACACACTGAACTCGACCCAATGCAACTCCCTCCCTCAGTTATTTATACATTGAACTCAACCCAATGCAACTCCCTCCCTCAGTTATTACACACTGAACTCAACCCAATGCAACTCCCTCCCTCAGTTATTTATACATTGAACTCAGTCCAATGCAACTCCCTCATTTATACATTGAACCCAACCCAATGCAGCTCCCTCCTTTTATACCTTTTTTTTTTGCCGTGTCAGGAGCATCCTGTTGTGAGAGAATTGGCTGTCTGCAAGGACGTTGCCCAGGGGACGCCTGGATGATTTTGATGTTTTATCATCCTTGTGGGAGGCTTCTCTCATGTCCCCGCATGAGGAGCTGGAGCTGATAGAGGGAGCTCATCCGCCTCTCCCCGGATTCGAACCTGCGACCTGTCGGTCTTCAGTCCTGCCGGCACAGGGCTTAAACCCACTGCGCCACCGGGGGCTCCTTTTACATTGAACTCAAGTCTATGCAACTCTCCCTCAGTTACTGCACACAGAAGTCAACCCAAACAACTCCCCCACTCAGTTATTGTACACTGAACAGGCATTCGACGAGTGAGTCAACACCCTGAGATATGGATGGAGGATGATGAGCAACAATTTTAGTGTGACGACTGACCATTATAGTTATTGATTGTAATTGCTGTTTTAATGTTTTACTGTAATATGTATTATGATGCTTTATTGATTGTATGTGATATTATGGTTGGAAACCGGTCTGAGTCCCTCAAGAGAGGTGAGAAGGTCGGTATACAAAACTTTTAAATAAATAAACTGAAGTCTATGCAACTCTCTCCCTCAGTTACTGTACACTGAACTCAACCCAATGCAATTCCCTCCCTCAGTTATTACACACTGAACTCGACCCAGTGCAACTCTCTCCCTCAGTTATGATACACCAAACTCAACCTAATGCAACTCCCTCCCTCAGTTATTATACACTGAACGCAACTCAATGCAACTCTCTCCTTCAGTCATGTTACCCACTGAACTCGACCCAATGCAATTCCCTCCCTCAGTTATTTATACATTGAACTCAACCCAGTGCAACTCCCTCCCTCAGTTAATCTATACTGAAGTCAACCCAATGCAACTCCCTCCCTCAGTTATTTATACATTGAACTCAACCCAATGCAACTCCCTCCCTTAGTTGTTATACATTGAACTCAACCCAATGCAACTCCCGCCCTTAGTTATTATACATTGAAATCGACCCAATGAAACTCCCTCTCTCATTTATACACTGAACTCGACCCAATGCAACTCCCTCAGTTATTACACACTGGACCCGACCCAATGCAACTCTCTCCCTCAGTTATGATACACCGAACTCAACCTAATGCAACTCCCTCCTCAGTTACTGTACACTGAACTGAACTCAACTCAATGCAACTCTCTCCCTCAGTTATTACACATTGAACCCAACCCAAGGCAACTTTCCCACTCCGTTATTATTCGCTGAACTCAACCCAAGGCAACTGTCTCCCTCAGTTATTGATACATTGAACTCAAGCCAGTGCAACTCTTTCCCTCAGTTATTTTACATTGAACTCGACCCAATGCAACTCTCTCCCTCAGCTATTACACATTGAACTCAACCCAAGGCAACTTTCCCACTCCGTTATTATTCGCTGAACTCAACCCAAGGCAACTCTCTCCCTCAGTTATTGATACATTGAACTCAAGCCAGTGCAACTCTTTCCCTCAGTTATTCTATACTGAAGTCAACCCAATGCAACTCCCTCCCTCAGTTATTTATACATTGAACTCAGTCCAATGCAACTCCCTCATTTATACATTGAACTCAACACAATGCAACTCCCTCCCTTTGTTATTATACATTGAACTCAGTCCAATGCAGCTCCCCCCCTTAGTTATTTATACATTTTTTTGTCGTGTCAGGAGCATCCTGTTGTGAGAGAATTGGCCGTCTGCAAGGACGTTGCCCAGGGGACGCCCGGATGATTTTGATGTTTTATCATCCTTGTGGGAGGCTTCTCTCATGTCCCCGCATGAGGAGCTGAAGCTGATAGAGGGAGCTCATCCGCCTCTCCCCGGATGCGAACCTGCGACCTATCAGTCTTCAGTCCTGCCGGCACAGGGCTTTAACCCACTGTGCCACCAGGGTCCTTTTACATTGAACTCAAGTCTATGCAACTCTCCCTCAGTTACTGTACACTGGACTCAACCCAATGCAACTCCCTCAGTTATTATACACAGAAGTCAACCCAAACAAATCCCCCACTCAGTTATTGTACACTGAACAGGCATTCGACGAGTGAGCCAACACCCTGAGATATGGATGGAGGATGATGAGCAACGATTTTAGTGTGACGACTGACCATTATAGTTATTGATTGTAATTGCTGTTTTAATGTTTTACTGTAATATGTATTATGATGCTTTATTGATTGTATGTGATATTATGGTTGGAAACCGGTCTGAGTCCCTCAAGAGAGGTGAGAAGGTCGGTATACAAAACTTTTAAATAAATAAATAAACAAACAAACTCAAGTCTATGCAACTCTCTCCCTCAACCCAATGCAATTCCCTCCCTCAGTTATTACACAATGAACTTGACCCAATGCAACTCCCTCCCTCAGTTATTTATACATTGAACTCAACCCAATGCAACTCCCTCCCTCAGTTATTTATACATTGAACTCAACCCAATGCAACTCCCTCCCTCAGTTATTACACATTGAACTCGACCCAATGCAACTCCCTCAGTTATTACACACTGAACTCGACCCAATGCAACTCTCTCCCTCAGTTATGATACACCGAACTCAACCTAATGCAACTCCCTCCCTCAGTTACTGTACACTGAACTCAACTCAATGCAACTCTCTCCTTCAGTCATGTTACCCATTGAACTCAACCCAATGCAACTCCCTCCCTCAGTTATTTATACATTGAACTCAACCCAATGCAACTCCCTCCCTCAGTTATTTATACATTGAACTCAACCCAATCCAACTCTCTCCCACAGTTATTATACATTGAACGCGACTCAATGCAACTCCCTCAGTTATTACACACTGAACTCGACCCAATGCAACTCTCTCCCTCAGTTATGATATACCGAACTCAACCTAATGCAACTCCCTCCCTCAGTTACTGTACACTGAACTCAACTCAATGCAACTCTCTCCTTCAGTCATGTTACCCATTGAACTCAACCCAATGCAACTCCCTCCCTCAGTTATTTATACATTGAACTCAACCCAATGCAACTCCCTCCCTCAGTTATTTATACATTGAACTCAACCCAATCCAACTCTCTCCCACAGTTATTATACATTGAACGCGACTCAATGCAACTCCCTCAGTTATTACACACTGAACTCGACCCAATGCAACTCTCTCCCTCAGTCATGATACACCGAACTCAACCTAATGCAACTCCCTCCCTCAGTTACTGTACACTGAACTCAACTCAATGCAACTCTCTCCTTCAGTCATGTTACCCATTGAACTCAACCCAATGCAACTCCCTCCCTCAGTTATTTATACATTGAACTCAACCCAATGCAACTCCCTCCCTCAGTTATTTATACATTGAACTCAACCCAATCCAACTCTCTCCCACAGTTATTATACATTGAACGCGACTCAATGCAACTCCCTCAGTTATTACACACTGAACTCGA